CGAGAGCGTCGAGTCCCCATAGACTCCAGACGAGAGTCTAGATGTCAAAGCCAGGAAATCAGCCCAATATGTAGTGTTGACGGCGGGGTCTGGGCACCAGTCCTCAAGTCAGACACGGCCGAGATCGATTGTCGTCGACGGCCTGGATTGGGTTGAAACTGTATCCTCCTTGGTCCACCGTTCTGACTGGGTACCTGCACACATACAAGTCGATGCACACGACCAAGGGCCTGGGCGAGGTTCCTGGACCTACAGTTCACTTTGACCTTTGAGTTTCTTTCTGTGCGTGGTCACACAGTCACCCGCATCGGCCTGAGGCCGAGCAGCGCGTGGTCGCACTGCTCGCTGGGCCTGGGCTTGGGTTACAGCGCCCAGGCCGCTGCTGAACGCGGTTTACTGCATTTGGTCCCATTTTTTTTTGTTTTCTTTCACAACTGCTCTTTTTTTTTTGCCTTTTTGTTTTCTGTTTTGTGGTGGTGGTCAGTGCTGACGTCGCCCTCCATCCCCATGACCACCACCACTCGGGACGTGTGGCACCCCCGGGCCTGCCCAGGTCCCTCCTTAAGTTCAGGGAGTGGCAAAAAACTGCCTGGTCAGGGTACTCGTGGTTCAAGTATAAAGTCTACTGGATCGCATGTATTTTTTATTCAAAATAACTTCTTTTACGGTCTGTTTGTTTCAATGTTCTCCCCCACATCATAACCACCATTTTTCGCCGAAGTTTCTTCCCCCCATACTCAACTCCCCTCTCCACCTCTCCCTTGTCACCGAATCTTGCCATGCAGCTTCTGCCCGCTTCTCCTTCTCACGCTAGCACATGTCAGTGCGCCGGGGAACATTTACCCACTTGTCCAGCTGTTTTCAGACTCTGAAAGTCGCAACTGTGAGGGCATAGTCCCTCTACAACCTTTTCACGTCGGAATGCGCGATTAGTGCAGCGAAGCCAGTCACACATGGATGCCAGGCCACCAAAAGTAGTACTCGCTGACAAACGTCAGCAGCCCGCCAAGCTGCTGGAGGACACATTCTGCAGGCACCTTGTGCCCAAAAAAGCTTCTTCTGCTTTCTTGATTATCGGACGAACACGGGAGGATATTGTCGAAGTGATAAGAGTGGCTTTGGGCGACCGCATCATCTGCAAAGTCACCAAATGAGACTACGTCATGACTTTCTTTCCTAGATGCACCACCAGTGTGACAGCAATACAGTGAACGTCTTCTCCACGGACACAAAACCCACAGATTTTGTGAGAAATTGGTCCTGGTGCGAGTACGCCCTGAGTATCTTTGCCTTCTCAACAATGGTCTCACAATGTTTTCAAAACTTCAGGAACGCCACAAGTGTCAGCTGGCCCTAAATGAATACCGGTTTGGAGTTCAAAGGCGTCCTTTCACACGGAAGAGGGCAAAGGGAGAGGAATTGTGAAGTATCAGGCTGTACAAGCAAAGCAGGACAACAAACCTTGTAGAACTCCACTCTTTCTTGCCACTTCTTCACGTCGTGTTGAAACACCGCAGCACTTTCATCCTTTGACTCCAGAATCCGCGGTGGTATAGCGTTTACCCTTTCACGCCATTGTCGCTGTGGTGTGCTTACGTAATTATCCGGGAATGGTGTTACACAAGGCTCCATTGGCACATACCTGTTTGGACAAACGTAAAGCAGCAGCAAGCCCAATAAAAAAGGAAAGAAATTAATAAAAACTTGAAAGCCCACCAACCTGGGAATAGAAAAAACTGGACTCGCATCACAGCAAAGCACCAGGAAGAATTAGAAGCTACTGCCTTCACCCGAACACAATGCCCAGTCATTATTGGCGGCAACCAAACTCGAAGCTGGCCCCAGGCAGCAATAAGGGCCAGGCGTTTTACTCGGTTGAAGAAAGTGGGTGCAAACTGCACTGAAAAAGTCACGCTACAAACACAACAACGAACTCTCGTGACCAGCATGCATATGTCAGCCAGGCAATCAGCAGAGACGACAAAGCCAATATCACGCCGGCACAGAAATTGAAAATATTGAAGTCCTTTGCACATGCAAAGCCCTCTTCCCGCCACCCAACGATCAATGCAACAACAATAGCAGTTCTCTTCTCTCACTATTCTTTC